AAAAAAAAAAAAAGCTGAGACTCAACCGAAGCATCATCGGGAGCTCTGGTAACTGGTAACGTGCACAGGAGGTGGGAGCTCCCCCAGGGGAGCGGTGGCTCTGGAGCTGCCCTGGAATCCTTGGAATCGCGGCGCGAGGCTGGAGGGGACGGAGCCGGAGCCCCTGCGGGGCGGTCGGGGATGGGGGACGCGTCTCTTAAGGCATCTGTAGCAACTCTGTGTCTTTAATATCCTCCGTGTCAATGCTGCACCTCTGTATTTTATGCACATAAATGTTCCTTTGGTGGCGACAGGACAAACCTCATCACCTGTCAGGTACAGCCGACTCCTCTGCGTCCCGGCCTCCAGCGGCGCCGGGGCCTCGTCCCTCTCCCCGTGCTGGGGGGGAGAAAGAGGGGGAAGAGAAAAAAAAAAAAAAAAAAAAAAAAAAAAAGAGGAAAATAGCCTTACTCGACCCAGTCGTATCGATATTGTTTGTCAACTTGAAAATAATAAAGGAAACGCATGGAAACCTCCGGCTGAGCCGCGGCGCGGCCTGGGTGTGGTGTTTCGGAGAACTGGGATGTGAGGGGCCTCCTGCTGCTGTTCCTGAGCTTTTTGGGCTCCCCTGGAGCTGCTGTGGGGCCTGGGCCTTCCTCCTGCCCCTTCTTTTTCCTTTCCTGAGCCTGGCAGGAGCGCATTCCTGATGGCTTGACCGAAACTGCCAGTTCTTTGGGGCTCTGCACTTGGATTCCAGAGGTTGTTCCAGGGGTCCCACCGTGCTGCTCTGCCCACTCACAGCCCTGTGCTGGCCCCCTCGCCCTGGGAATGAGCTTTCCCAGGCTCTGTCTGGGCTGAGGACATGGATGGAGCTCTTGGTTGGGTGGAAGGAGAGGCCAGAGGTGTGAGAGGTCTGGGACCCCTGAACAGTCCCAGTCCTGCTGTGAGACAGGGTCTCGGCCCCCCAAAAGGGTCCCAGCCCCCTGAGGGGTCCCAGCCCCCCAAAGGGATTCCAGCTGTCCCAGTCCTGCTGTGGGAGGGGGTCCAAGCCCCCCAAAGGGACGGGTCAAGGGCTGCAGGCATTCGGATCCTGGCAGCATCTTACTGAATTTTCCACTGTGTGAAGCGTGACCCGTTTGGGGACTGGGGGCACAGAGCGAGCCATGGGTCGGTCATGGGGGGCTCGGCCCCTTTCCTGCCACCTTCGCACCTTCCTGTGGGTGCTCCAGGTCTGAGAGTGGAGAACATCCCAGAGAAATTCCCGAGAACATCCCGGGTAACATCCCAGAGAATAGACGCGACCGAGTCCTGTTCTTCGTGTTGTGGCTTTGAATCAGTTATGTTTATTAAAATGCTATTGCTTCTAAGGGCTGTTGTCCTTCCTCTGCCTGCTCTGGGAGGACGGGAAGGGGAACGAGCTGGCACTCAGCCCTGGATGTGGTGTGTGAGCACCCCCCTGCCCCCACCACGGGGGGGTTGAGGGGACCCCCGAGTCCCACCCCACCCCACAGGGCCGAGCCTGAGGCTCCCGAGGCAGCGAGTGCCACTGGGGGTCTTCAGGAGGTGAACAAATCCGGTCCTGGGGGCACGCTGGGGGTCCTGCTGTCCGGTCCTGGCCCCGCTGAGCCCCTAGAGCTGCAGCCAGGCGCGGACGTGCCCCTCGGCCAGGGCGATGCCCAGCATGACGCCGCTGCCCAGCAGGAACCCCACGTTCTGCAGGAGGAAGCGGCTCCAGGTGCCCTCGCCAGGGCCCTCGGCTCCCCGCAGCGCCTCGGGGAGCTGGGGCAGAGCAGGGGGCTCAGCACGAGGCTCCTGCCCCGTGGACACCCCCGGACACCCCCAGATACCCCCAGACACCCCCAGACACCCCTGGACACCCCTGGACACCCCCAGACATCCCCAGACATCCCCAGACAACCCTGGACACCCCTGGACACCCCTGGACACGCCCAGACACTCCCGGACACCCCCAGACAACCCCAGACAACCCCAGACACCCCCGGACACCCCTGGACACCCCTGGACACCCTCAGACACCCCTTACCATGTCAGCCAGGGCCACGTAGAGGAAGATGCCGGCGGTGGTGGTGAGGACCCAGGGGGTGAGGGGGGTCCCGCTGTGCCCCAGGGCCACCCCCACGAGCACCCCCAGGCAGGAGAGCAGGGCCGAGAGCAGGTTGAGCAGCAGGATGGAGCGGGGGGCCGTGCCCGCCCGCAGCAGCACAGCCAGGTCACCTGAGGCCAGAGGGGGTGGGTGGGTGGGGGGGTTGTGGCCAAAAGGGGGGTGGGTAGGTGGGGGTCGCAGGGCTGCCGGGCCAGGGCAGGGGGAGCAGCACTTACCCAGCTCGTGGGGCAGCTCATGGCAGAGCACGGCCAGCGCCGTGCTGAGCCCGCTGGAGAGGCTGTGGGAGAAGGCGGCACCTGCGGGAAGAGGGTCCTTCACCCCGGACCTGCCCGTCCGTTCACCCCCTGCCCCTGTGCCATCCCTGTCCCCTGTCCCTGGGCACCCCTCCTCCCTCCATGTCCACATCCAGGTCCATGTCCATGCCCAGCTCTCCCCCCTCACCGATGGCCAGCCCGTCCGTCAGGTTGTGGATCCCGTCCCCCAGCACCACCATCCACACGATGTCGGTGGCCCTGGGGCTGAGGGGCAGCGCGGGGCCGTGGGAGTGTCCGTGGGGGGATTCATGGGGGGGTCTGTGGGGCCTCAGCTCCAGCTCTGGGTCTGTGCCCGGTGCCGTGAGGTGCCTCAGCTCGGCCCCTGCGGTGGGACGGACACGGGTGGGTGCTGGGATCGGGGGCTGTGGGCACTGTGGGGCACGAGTGGGGGTCGTACCTCCTCGTGGCGGTGCCAGGACCCCCGTGGCCCCACCGGGGGTCTCTCCGTGGGGGTGTCCCTGTGAAGGAACCGAGGTGTTGGGCACAAAGCCGGACCTGGTGGCAACCCCGCTGCCCACCTGGTGCCCGTGGCTCTCACCGTGGCCTCCCGCCCGCGCCGCAGCATCCCCAGCAGCAGCTCCAGCAGGAAGAGCAGGTAGATGCCCCCCAGCACTGCCAGCCCCTGCAGCACTGCGGGCCCCGGCTCCGACAGCGTCTCCCGGTGCCCCCCCTGGGCCTGGACAGGGGGGACCAGCAGGTCAGGGCACCCTGACACCCCACTGTCCCCCAGAGTGCCACCTCCCCTCCACGGGGGTGAGGGTACCTACATGGGGCCAGAGGTGGAGCAGGGCGTCCCCGCAGAGCGTCCCCATGGCCAGGGCCACCAGGAAGGCCAGGAGGGAGCGGAAGAAGCCGCGGCTCAGCAGCGGGACCAGGAGGACGGCCAGGGCAGACGGGAGGCTCACGGAGGCCACGGCCAGGAGAGCCCAGCCCAGAGCTGTGGGGAGGGTCAGGGGGCACGGCCGGAGCAGGGGGGCACGGGGATGGGGTGTGGGGATGGGGGGCCCTTGGGGATGCGGGATGGGGACCTCAGGAATGGGGACCCCAGGACCACGAGTGTGGGGTGATGGGAATCTGGGGATGGGGACTGTGAGAGGGGGGCCCCTTGGGGTTGGAGGGATGGTGATTGCAGGGATGGGGTTGGAGGGATCCAGGGATGGGACTGAAGTGACAGGGGACTTGGGAAGCCCACGATGGAGGGAGCAGGGATGGGGATGCATGGAGAGGGTCCACAGGGTATGGGGAGCAGACACTGGGTACGGGGGGATGCAGCAATGGGGGGACAGGATGGGGGGACCCGAGGATGGGGCTGCAGGGCCGGGGGACCCAGGGGCCAGGGAGAGGTTACCCCGGGTTGGGGTTACCTGGCCACGGGCCCCCCCCCGGGGGAGGCAGCGTCACCTCATCGCTGTGCTGGATGCAGACCCGGCTGTCGATCTGGTAGAGCAGGGCCGGGCACAGCAGCGTGAACTGCTCCGGCGTCAGCTGCGACACCGAGTCCAGCCCGAAATTCACCAGCAGCTGGGTCACGTTGAGGCACTGCAGGGCCGGGGGGCTGCCGTGAGCGGTGTGGGGGTCCCGGGGGGGATGAGGAAAAGCTGGGGGTCCCCGGAGGCTCCCGGAATGTGGCAGGAGAGGGGGATGGGTTAGGGTTAGGGTTAGGGTTAGGGTTGGGGTTAGGGTTAGGGTTAGGGTTAGGTTACTCACATCATCGTGTGGGTGGTCTGCGCTGGAGTGCTCCAAGCCCAGGACCCTCCCCAGCAGGCTGAGGGTGGGCTGGTACTGCCGGGGGGGTACCCCAGCACCAGGGGGCTCAGCGGGCTCCGGTTTCACCCAGCTTTGTGTCTGGGAGGGCAGGGGCCTGCAGAAGAGCAGGGTGATGAGCCCCCACCACAGCAGGGCGCGGGGCAGTGCCCTGGGGGCTGTGGGGGGAACCGGGTACCTGTGGGGTCGGTCGGTGGTCGGGTTGCCGGGAGCCGCGTCCCCGCCGTGCTCCCAGACCGGGTGCCGGTGCCGGTGCTTCTCCTCCTGCACCTCGAGCAGGTCCAGGTGACTGACGTGGCCGTGGCCCAGCTCCTCGTGCTGGATCTGGA